ATACAAAACTGTTTCTCTTGGCATGCAGAACCCTCTACAAGAAGAAAAATATCACGATCAGCCGCGGCTAAACGCATAGGACTCTCTGATTCTTTATTTCACTTCGCACAGATTTCTAAGAAGAGACTAAACACATCGTGTCCTCAGGGTCTTTGGGTTTCTGGAGGCACCCAGCAAAGTGAGGGGGTGAGAGGCTCCTGTGTGTGAGCAGTAGGGAGTGGGATAGGACTCTCTGATTCTTTATTTCACTTCGCACAGATTTCTAAGAAGAGACTAAACACATTGAGTTTAGTTAGTTTAGTTAGGCGAGCAGTGAGTGATGCCGGAGCCACAGAGACCCCCGAGTTCTGCAAGGTGACCGTCAGCCTCTTTCAACGGCTGCTGGGTGAAGAGGTACAAGGGGTTAGCCCACTGGACTGGGAGGATTTACCCCCTTCAGTGAATACAGAGTTCACAGCGTGTGGCCTCTGGCTGAAACCTGGCTCCAACCGAGCTGCCCACCTCACTTCAAGGGCTCGGTTCGGTCAGCACAGCCCTGTTCGTTAAAGAGACATGGGTTGAAAACATAGGATTGTGGATTTGTCACCCTGCCAGAGATTTCCACAGCCTGAGGGAGTGGGAGCTGCTGCTCGGAAAAGGTGCCAAGGGCATCGCTGCCCAACTACAATGGTGCAACGGGTCAAACGCCCATCCAGCCCCTGGGATGCTGCACCACAGGGTCCCTGCCGTGCATCTCCCTAAGGTGAGAGCCCCCAAGCCCAGCAGAGGTGTGAAGACCACGTGCAATTCTGGAGGAGAAGCTCCCACTGGTCTCAGCTCCCCGTTACGCTGGGCACCAGGCAGCGGCACTTCGTGGTGCATCTTTTACGGCGTGGGGGGAGGCCGCAGTGTGCACACAAAAAAGGGATGAGTCACTCAGGTCACTAATGAAAGGTCACAGCATCCTCAGATTCAGTGAGAGGCATTTATTTCTTCAGCAAAACAATTTAATTGCTCAAGTACCTCAAGTACAGAGACAACAGACCTGACAGGTTATCTTATTTACCAAGGATATCGATCAGACTGGGGAAGGAATAGTAGATGCAATTACTCCAGGTGACCTGGGAAATAATGGTAAATATACGTGGGACTGGGTGCCGTTGGTGAAGATTTTAATAAAGGAGAAAAACCTGAGTCAGTGGCAATGCTATGCAGAGTGTTTTGGCATCTGGGAGACCAACAGCTTGTGAAGAAGAGCAAATCACGTAAATAGAATAACATTTAGCTTGACTGTGTGAGGCCATCAGTCTAATATTATTCCTGCAGCGCATGCAGTTATAAATAGGTGATGCCGTGCAGCGTGGGACCTGGGGGGAGCAGGAGCTGCGGAATGCACTTGCGGCTCGGTGGCAGCGGCACTGCACAGCTTGCAGCTGTAACACACATTTGTATGTGCCTTACGGAGCGACTGCGGCTGCACCCTGCGGGCAGGGATTTCTTCTGGAGGGCTTGGTGAGCTCAGGCTTAATAGAGATGTGCCATTTTACAGACCTTCCCTCTAAATATCCCCCAGCGGCAAGGCCTCCATGCTCCTTGCCATCAGCGCAGCTCGTTGCTCAAGGCTGGGATCAGTACAGGGAGCAAGCAGGGCAGCGAGAATTCCCGGGAGCTGCTCTGGGCACCACGACCTGCGCTGCCTTCTCAGCAACCTGGCAGGAGAATATTGTTTGAATTTCCCCCAACATCTCCTCTCTGCCCCAACCGGGAGATGCTCAGGTTGGACCCAGCTCCCTAAAGAGCCCATTGTGCCAGGTCACAGCCCAGCCAGTGTGAAATTCTTCTGCCTGTTTGGGCTCATGGGCAAAAAGGTTACCCTAAGGAGCATCAGAAAGCTCCCGGGCTTCTCAGCAGCATGACAGCTCCTCTTCAGAGAGGCTGCTTCTCTGCTGTGCAGGGGATGTCCAAGGACAGGAGACAGATTAACTCCATCCTGACTGCCTTTGCTCTCAGATGCGGAGGTGCCGCTCAGCAGAGGTGTGGGAGAGCGGCACACCACAGCTCCCAGTCAGCACTTCCAGCCCAGCCCATCACTGTGCC